TTTAAGATCCTTCTACTTAATTTTTGTCCTCTGCTAAAATTCAAAGCACTGCAGCTATACGTGTGCTAATTACGTTGAAATTCATAATCCAGTTGCGCAATTCCTTTATCTCCCTTTCTCCAGCGACACTCTAATCTCAATTAGCCGAGACGAAAATGATCTTTAACCTTTTGCCGCAAATTAGCCAACTGGTTTTCAGCTGGTGTCATATATAAGTTTAGTTATCCACGAGTATGTGTGTGTGTATAAATGATGGTCCATGATGCTGGGAATTTCCGGCTTCCTCGTGACGTATCACAATGAAATGATGATATCAGTCCCTTGTGCGTATCTCCGTGGCGCAGTCGTTCCAGTGAGAATTAACGTCTCGACAGGTAGTTGTTTAAGAACAAGACCTTATGGTCCATATCTATATACTCTGCATCCGTGATGCTGATTCGTCGAGTGTTTACTGCGTCACGTGTCACAAAGATTCGGTTATCTTGAGCCTCTCGAGTAACTCCGAGCGCAGCAATCGTCCGAGAATACGAAAAGAGACGAGTTTCCGGTTTACTTGTCGTAATCAAAAGCTTCGAGTGACTAATTGATTCTCAAGAAAAAGTATCCTTGGACCAGGAGATATCGCATTGATTATGATTTTCGTGGAAAAATTCTTCGCTCGCTGCAGAAGCGACGCACGCGGTATCGTAAAGATCAAGAGAATTTCATTCAACGGTTGTTCCCCTTTAAACGGCACAAGGTCCGTCTAACGTTCAGGGTAACCAGTTGCATTTAGGTCGCTTACTCATTTTTTTTCTTTTTCTTTTCTTTCATTATTTTCTCTCGCTGGCAGCTGTGCTGCACGAGTACTCGTAAGCGGGAAAATTAGACGCTTTAATAATATATATTGCGTTCCTCCAGTTTCCATGTAAGCGAAGACTCTGTTCGCGTAATTAGTTCCACATACGCTGAGATCATTTCTATGGGTCTGAATGGGTGGGAGGTATGAATAGACAAGCAATGACTAATAAATGCAAAACGACCATGTAGGGAAATCGACGATGAAAAAAAAAAATAATATCCTAAATGATACAATATACAAAAAAAGAAAAACATCACTGTACGATACTTTCCATCAAATATATTTTTTTTCAGTCATACACTCACGAGTCTGGTTTCTGCGTATAAAATTCATTTACAAAAAAATAAATACCAGTCGTTTTACCTTTCAGCAAGCGAATCCCCGTTTACGTTTGGCTAGACGTTAGACTTAGTGGATATCGTATTTACGTGAAACGAGAGGTGTTGGAGCGTTTTAATTATGAACATAAATTACTCGTATTTAACAAGAGGGCCGAGAGCACCTAAGAAAACGGAGAACCTAGAGGTTCGGTCTATGTACTATGTACCATATATGTATACCCACCTATACATTGTATTCGCTGGTAGCAAGACCTCTTGGAAGCGTTCTAGCAACTTTGAAACCACCAGTACACGCAATGTGTCCATATCGAACCGAACGCGAGATGTTGCCTGGTGACGCAAACTGGAACAGTTTGTTAGCCGCCGCGTTATTCGCTTCGGCTGGCAGGACTAACGAGCGAGTAGTAGCTAAGGTGAGTAGGCTAAGGCCTTTGTCAGGCACCAAACCGGCAGATTGGTTGCTCCGTTCGAGGATTCCTGTTCGGGTCCACTGACGCCACACGAGACCAGCCCTTTCCTACGTCTTCTAACCTGACTGTAGCATTTTCAAGTATATCGCGAGGAAATGAAAACATTTCTTTTGTCACGAAGAGAAAAAGGAATTAAATCTTTTTTACAGGACCAGGCAAAAATAGGGGATCAAGATTTAGCCACTTAAATCCTGATTGTTCCACAAGACCCCGACTCATTTTATGTGGCTGTCCTAATCCTTAAACGTATTATACCATGCACTAACTCTATAGGGGGTTTATGGGTTAGACGTTGGCAAACCTGGGAGCCACGTGGATGGCAAATGGGATAAGGTGACTGAATTCTAATGAAATTCAAGACTGTAGATTTCTAGCGGATACGTGTCTGCTGCTGTTAATAATAAAAGAGTCGATTAGTATAGGTATGATATATGTATGTAGCGATAAGACTGATCCCCAAGTGATCCCATAGGACTAGGAAAGTGCAGTCTAGGGAAGTTCATGAAACCGCATCAGGTCTGCTTAATCATTGGCAACTTTTCTAGTTACTCGAAGCCAGGGTGGTTGGGGTATTGCCTGAAAATCTTATTAAAAGTGCAGCGAGCCTTAATTTTTCTAGCCGTCAGACTGCTGGGCTCTCTGAGCTTAAGTAATCTCTCTGCTCGGTTCCGTCCTGGGCTGCGAGCCTCTTCAAAAGTTCCCACCGACTGTACAGGCTCGGCACCGCTAATGAAGAATCGATAACCGACTCCCAGTCACAGCTGATTAATCTCCGATTAATTAGCTCTTTACGAAACTCTCTATTCTCTCGAATGAATGGCAGAGCCTATAAATAAATAATATTCTCGAATAATTGTCACGAAATGCAATGCAATGCAATGACTGGAGGATGCTGACGTCACTGATCCAAGCCAGTCGATTTAATCGGAAGCGTTACGTCATCTCGAAAACCCCATGACCGCGATCACGTCATCCGAGCTATAGCTCAGGAGAAATGAATATCCAATTCTACGAAATAAATGATACGAAAGATACAAGTCCGGAAGTTATCGTAGTCTCGGAGCTTCCGGTAGTCCTGACTTTCAAACTGTAGCTGCGCATCCGAGTGTTTGACTCCTGCAGTACTACATGGTGCACGGGGCACGGTGCATGGTGAATATGTTAACCGAGTCGAGAAAAGGAAAGTGAAAAGACAGACAAGAACGAGTAAGCAAGAGTTTCCGTCTTCCTTCTGTCAAAGAGGGATTCGAAAATTTTGTAAACAGAATTTTACGCCAAGATTATTTGTACCTAGCAGTACCGTAGGAGACAACCCGCATAGGTAGACCATGTGTCCGAAGTTGTACGATTGCGGGAAACGTATGGAAATGCAAATGCGATTACCCCTCGTAAATAACCTGGTCCGAGTTCAGGTCCTCAGGGAATTGTTCAGTCTCTCTTTCTCTCTCTCTCTCTCTCTCTCTCAGGTCAAAAACAAAGGAATGGAAACGGTTCGACTCTCCTAGTGAATTTTCGTGCCCGCTCATTCTCAGGTAGACGGAACTACCTAACTTCGGGGCATGGCCAACACCTTTGGCTGAGTTGCCTAGTGGCAGCGGCACCTCCCCCTCTCCCCCTCCTCCTCTACCCGAGATCCGTAACGAGCTAAATTAAAGTTGAGATTCCCGCGGATTACGGTCCGTCACGATGGATGAACGTTAATAGGATATTATGGTGCCAGAGAGACAACCGAGTTACGTGCTGGCTCTGTAGTGCTTAGGACCGTGGAACCGGAAGTAGCCGAAGTATTCTTGAATCCAGGCGCCAAGACCATACCGATTATTCTAGTACATGAAATGTAATTAGAAAAAAAAAAAAAAAAAAAAAAAAAAAAAAAAAAAAAAAAAAAAAAAAAAAAAAAAAAAAAAAAAAAAAAAAAAAAAACCGAGTACAACAGATAAATCCAGCTTCTCCCGGTCGAAAGGAAAGACGCAATGAAATACGAGGGCAGCTGTAGTTTGCAAGAAGACTTGAGATTCCAGGAAAGTGCCAATCAGCGTAGAACAGAGAGCGAATTATCTGCGGGCAAATTGGAGCTCCCGGGAAATGTAACGCGTCGGTGCGCTGCTGTCAGTTGCAATTGGTAGGTCGAGCTACGAGATGCGACCTTGGACCTTGAAGATCAAGATGAAACGGATCGACTCGCTGCGGCCTTCGGATGTAAATCTTGATCTTGGTATCTTTGAATCTTTGAACCTTGAACCCGTAGCTGGCTCCTGATTGGCCAAGGAGCATGATCTAGAATGAACGTCTACAGGCTGTGGAATGCAGCCAATGCAGTTCTTTTAATTATAGAATGGACGCTAATGGTGACACAGATTACGATGCAGCCTCCGGCGACGTTCGTCGATGCATTTTTTATTAAATCGACATGAGCGCCCGTTAGAAGCCACGAAGACCATAATAGCCCATGGACGTTAACTGCCTGTTAATTTTACATTTAGACAATACGCAACCTTATATTTACATTCGTCGTATATCCTCGTGCTAGCTGGGAAATACATGTCACGGCGTCTCTTATTGGTCCAGCGAACTTTCACAGCTGGTCGTATAAATTTTCATGTAAACCGCGCGTCGTAAAATCTTCATTCCCTTGCTGCATCAAGCACCGTAAACCTTTAAAGGCATGAAAACTCAATCAGAGTACCAGCCGTGACCTCTGACCCTCGAGGTACATAGTTACATAACTGAACGAGGCATGCGTGTTAGACATGTATCCAGGCGAAATCTCTTGATTGCATCTTCCCCTATCCAATATCCTAGTGATTAAACAACTTGGGTATTGGTAGGAACGGGGTGCAGGTATACGTATAGGTATAGACACAGGCCGTTTGGTAAGAGCAAAGTGTCGGGAAACTCTTGAAATAATAAGCGACTAGATTAATCGTTTAAATTACGTAAGAAAATAGATACGCCGATGGGAAAGCTCTTGAATAATTTTTTTTCTCTCTAAAATTACTTAATTTTATATTCGAATAGATAATTATACGTATTTTTAATATTTTCTGCCTGTATACTATAGCTGCTCGGAACCAAGACGTTACCGCGTCTTGTAAATCGAGTGTCAGCGGAAGATTCCAAAGTCCCAACACGTCTAACGTCCAAAGCAACGGTACACGGAACGAAGGAAACACAATCCTTATTCCCATTAGTTTCCACGGCAAATGAACTATACGTGACGGAGCGCTCTCGGCTCTCTCGGCTCTCTCGGCACACGGACACCCAGTCTGTACATTCTGTATAACGAGAGTGGAAAGAAGCGAACGTGGTGGGCGAACGTGGTGGTGGGGATCGCCAGATGGCAGGGAATGGACTCGGGCTTTGGTCACGCCGAACGGAGCAACCGGACGCATTTATAAATCGCGAGGATGCTCATCGACAACTATACGGTGACGTACACGATGCAGTGACGATATATAAAAGTACAGCGCGAAGTGTCGGTAGTTTCGTCTCTTGAAGGATCACGTGATCCAGCTAGCGTGTTGAGCGGATCGAGAAGGACGGTGATAAAAATTGAGCCGCGTGCGGGAGGCCGAGGGGAAAGGAAAAGAAAGCAACCCTTAAGCAGCCCTTTTTTGGTATTATCGCGCATCTCCTCGTTATCGACGTGATCCGTCGAGATATCGCAGATAGTGACGGGAGTTATCTTCTGGCTTAGTAGCTCCTTATAAAATATCCTGCCAAATACGATAACTCTCGGCGGAAGTTGTTATACGTGTATTTTTCAGTGACACTCTTAAAGCAAAAGTTCTCCTTCAAGTTGCAGCACGACGCTCTAGTCGGCGCTTTATCGATCGTTGTAAATTGGATTTGAGGCTTGCGCTACACAGTCACCCTCTACTTTGAGATTCAAAAGAAACGCGCGTCGCTTGGCTACTAGACTGTACTGCATGTACTGCAGCGAATCGAGAGCTTTTTTCTTTCGAGAGCTACCTGTCAAAGTGAACGTCATAATCGACGATAAGAGGTCGTAATTGTGAATCTTGGTAACGGCGTGCAATTTTGGTAAAATTCTTTTTTTTTCAAATTCGACCGAATAACGCGATCCGGATACCTCGGAATGATCTGTAAGAACGGAGATCGTGATTAACGAAAGCGTCCCGACGCCCGTAACGAGTTACGCGTCTCTGGCGATTGGCGCATCTGATCGCGTGTGCATGAATGAACTCTACGTGGAAGTGTTGACACATCTCAACGGTCACGTATCACACAGAGCAAGTAAGTGTCGTCCTTTCAATTCGTTTTGGTCTTTTCTCTCGAATTAACATACCGCACAGCGCGACCGTGACTCGGTGACTTGCCTTGCGAAGTGACGAACATTTAAATGACTTGTCGTTCGAAAAAAATTCTTTGAAACAATTTTTTTCCATTCAATTCTCAATTATCGCATGACAATGATAATAGTCTTTCTTTATTTTTTTTTATTTTTTGACAAAAATTCAAGGTCGACCAAGTGACGCGCCACATCGAAGACCCCTCGTGTCCCAAGTAGGAACTCGCGTTCGTTGCACGATGGATTCAATAGAATCTCTGGAGGCTGCGAATTACGACGATTACGTGAAATACCTACTATATAGATATACAGGAGGCTGTTATTCTTAGCGAACAACCTTCCATTACTTACGAGTCCCACATACGTATTAGCTCACGTATGTTCTCCCTTCCCAAACGTTCATCCCCAGCCTCTTCGCACCTGTCGACCCGTCGACGCCGCGCGGCTCGGCCGACCCTGCCGAATAATTCAACTGGACCATTCCTATTGGGCAGGAGAATCACGCGCGACCATGAATTACTGATGCTTACGCGCGAGGAGGTCGACAACGAAAGAAGAAACAAAGGGAGGAGAAAGGGTTGAAAGGTAAATCCGTACGAGCGAAAGCACAGGTTTGACTTGCCGGACGCGTTCGACTGGATTCTCCTTCAGGATCTGTCCTCAGGCCGAAATTCCCTCGACCGGCTATTGTCTTCGGTGCGTCGCGACGCGCAAATCCCGTCGGCATTGTACGTACGGACGTACGTGGCGTCGCTGATATTCCCGCGATCTCGGTCTATCGCCTACCGTAATTATAGACGTTACTCACGACTCGGGAGGAACAATCGCAGCGACCGCAGGAGATAGCGCGACGCGCTCGCATAGTGCTGTTTATAATAAACAACTTTTTTGCAAAAACAGATTACCCATTAACTACAGATTAATTGCTTGAAATGTATATTGGGACTTTCATTTCTTAAGTCCTCCATGTGTTTCGGCTCTGCTGTTGTTCTTGGGACTGATCGGCTCGTAAACACTAGACTCAATACATTCTGGTAATACGCGGTGTACACAGAATGAAGAAACGAAGAAACGAATGGACACAGCGGCCGAAGCGCTTCGGCTTTTGATAAAAGCCAAAACACGGACGTGACCTCGTTCAATCTATTGAGGATATCAACAGGACTGGCTTGAACTGCGAACGAAGAAATCTTAAGGATCCGTTAACTCGTGGCTCGTGGTCGTTGCGCTCGGTTTGGAATTTCGGGGAAATAGGTTGGCCGAAATAGCCTGGAGTGTTTGTTTGATGTAGACGGTCGGTGGGCTGACGCGTAGATGCGCGTGCCCTCGTTATCAAAAATCCCCATTCCCTCACGCACCAATTGCGCATCGGCGCAAACGCATGGCACTTGATGTGCACCGCGGGACCCGAAGCTTCGGGTAATGCCCATGGGTACTGAGCCATCAAATGCGAAGACACCTGCTGGGATTCTGTCCACGTGGACCTTACAGATGTCAGTGTGGCCGAGGTCGGCGCAGTGCCGTAATGTTCACGAGGTCATTTGTCCTCCGGAGAGTGACGAGGGACATTAACGGTCTGACACTAGTCGAGACACCATACGTAAACGCAGACGAGCCGCCGCCATCTTTTTTTTCAACGAATCCCCAAAGGCTCGTCGAGTCTCGTCGCTCGTTTAATTTTGCCGGCGGCCTGAGTTAGTAACGCGAGGGTCGAGAATGGAGATTGGAGGTAAAAAAGAAGTGAAGTGCGGAGTTAACGAAAGTAGACTCTACATGGGGAGAGGGAACAATAATATAAAGGACGTCGAGGCGACGTGTCCACGTGTCCGAGGGCACCGTCCTGTGGGAAGCTCAGCGAAGCGCAGGGCCGGTGAGCACCCGACGTCCAGCTTCGGATCAATGTGCACGCAGCAATGTAATGTATCGACGGAGTCTCGGCTGGTAAATAAATCTACAGGTTAAACCCTCGCGAGATTGACAATAAATAGTTCGCGGCTGGCCGCACCTTCATCGCGTACGATGGAGCTTGGGGAAAATTCGAAAGGAATGCACTGCGCATCTGACTCTCTCGGGCCGCCGTTCCTCCTGGGAATCGGCGGGATCGAACGCTGCTGCCGCCTATAAGTTACGCTCCTGTCAAAGTGGACTCGTTACGGTTAACCTAACCTGCCCTGTTCGCCTCGGCACGAGGCATCCGCCGCTCTAGGCAATTGGTGCAGCTTCCACCCACCACGGTAAAACCTGGAAATTCGACAATTTGGCGGTGTCGCTTAAGGTCCTTCTAATTCTTCTTATTCCTTTTCCTCCTCTCCTCTCTATTTCTCTCTCTTTCTCGCGAAACACACTTTATTTTATTATACGGTTGGCCATAGTAGTCCCACTCTGACCTTACACCTAGGTGGCGCTTCCCCTGTATTTCCAGTCTCACGCTAAACAAAGTCTCTTCTTCCGTCTCTTCACCTTTTTCTCCCTTTTCTTTCATTTTCTTGCTTCTTGAAGAAAGTGTAGATGGCCACACTGCAGAATCCTCATTTTCGTGCAATTTTCTTTATCTCCTTTTTTATTTCTCCGACCGCCAGTGTCGTTCACTCGCAGCCAGCATTGCCACTGCCAGGAGTATACCGTAGTTATTGGTGACATCCTCCACTCGAGGCTTAAGGCGCTTTTGATCGCGCGACAAATGCCTCTAGAAAAGTCCTGGGACCATTGCAGCTGAATTGCGCGTCTATTTACAATGGAAGGCTGCGCCTCGTTTGCGCCTCGTTAGAAGGTTTAAATACCGATAAGTGACGTCCGCGCTCATAATAACAAATTCCATCTTCGTCGCGACACATGAGAACGCTACGTGGACTATCGTCGTGATAAAGTCTTCGCTTCGGATCCTTCGCCGTTATCGTAGACGATAGCACAATGGCGTTTGGCATCAGCGGGTAACGCGAGACTTTGGATATGCATAGGTTCGTCTATCGTAACCTGGAAGAAAAGTTTAAGCATATATACATATATATATCTATAGGTGCATGTATAACGGGTGTATGAAAATGATCGGGACCACGATATAAATTCAGGATAACATAAATATTCGAGAAAATTCTTATTTCACTTAGCATAGAAACTCGCGAAGAATATATACCTCCTATAATAAGGTGCGCCAAGGTTCTTGAGATACTCTTGAAAGTCCTGCAGATTACGAGTAAATGATTTTACCTCGGAAAAGCCATATATGGTCGTGAGTCGAGTTTATCGAAAGTTGGGCAAAGGTCGTGTAAAGCAAATACATAAAATATAACGTGAATTTCCTTGAAATTTTTCTCACGTTTTCCACGACGTATTTTCACGTAAACGTTTCACAGGCTGGGGACGCTCCACTAAACTCGTTAGAGATTCCGCAAGAGTAGTCTTTAATTTCCTTAATAATTTTCAGCTCCCCCAGGGTGCGTTACTCTTCGTCGTGCTACCGTCTTATCACCCTTGGAAGAAGCCAAGTCGACTTTGAATTTTGCTTAGATCCTTTAGAAGTGTCATCTATTGTCCGTAAGTTATCTGACGTGGCCATCCATGATGATATTGGTGTCGGGTCTCTCGAAGAGGTTTTAAAGATAAAAGCAAAAGATCCAGGATCGATTGCAGATAGTGATAACCAATGACGGACAAGCCTCTCGTGCTGCTAAAAAATTGCATAGTCGTCGTTGCAGTTCAGTGACGCTGTGGCATCGCGAGATCGACAAGCGTATATCGATTTGGAATAACGAGACAAACAGATAAACCTTCGAATAATTTTGGCTTTGTACGAGCATTAAAAGCACTTTTAGTACACATGCGTTACTTTGTTTTCCTATCGATTTTCTCTCTTTCTGGTAATTCTACCAAATACAAATGACTGGTGCAATCGAATTCTATCCTAGCGGGGAATTCAAAATAAAATTCTCAATATCCCTCGCTATTCCCTATGTTCCTTCCACACTGTTGCGCTGATTCGCGTTCAATTTTCCAGCATGGCTGCTGAAGATATTGATTCACCCTGTAGCTTCCGCCCTGTAGCTTCTGCGTTACGGCGAATTACAGGATAGATATCTGATAGACGAGTAATCAGGATAGGGAGCTACCAATTTCAGGCCAGTCGCCGTTGGCTCTCCTTCGTAATTGAGGTCCAGCAGTCAAAATCCAAAGTCATTAACGTCCAGTACGAAACAAGTCTGTCCGATGAGACTGAAGTCGTAGCCGTGACAATTTTCAAAATTCAAATTCCACCTGACTCGAAGCGCAGTTAAGGAAGATATTAATATTCCAGCAGGTCGAGAGCCGAAGAGCCAGGCCAGAGTCTGACTCAGCACGTGCCGTACCTACTGGACCGAATTGCCCAAGTGGAATCGGAGATGGACTATTGCTCTTGTTACTGTTATTCTTCTTATTTTCGTAATCGTTACACACATATAAATATATATATATATATATATATATATATATATAATGCTCGCCAGCATCATCAGCGACTAGAGCAACTCATCTCGCGCAGCCCTTTGCGAGGAGGAGATGCACGTGGATCCCTTCGAGCTGGAAGATTGCAACGTCATTCTGACGTAACGAGGGAATTAACGGTGCATCCATGGGATCCCGATTGCCGAACATAATGCAATTATTTTGGAGATCCGTCGTGGCGATATTAGTGACGTCATGAAATTCGTCGCGGTGCGCCAGGAATTTCCGGCGTTGCGTAACCATCACGGCGGCCGGAAGTCCAGCTGGCAACAGTCGTTATTCCCTGTCGCGCTAAAAACAGGCGCCATCCACTCTGACGTATAGAAATATGGGATTGTTATCGTGTGTCGGATATGGAATGGAAATCGCAGCGGAATTCCTCGAGTATTTCTGCTATCGAGTGAATCGACAGTTTTTATTTGTCAGGCGGCGAACAAGGGATCAATTTAGGAAAATAGGAAATCGA